CTGTGTTTAGTAGAGTGCATGTTGCTGGGTTTATCTTCCCTGCTTCCTGCGGGTGTCCTCCTAGTCACCCTGACTCATGTGAAATGGTCCCTTCCAACTGCCTACCTGCTCATTGCTCCCTTCGGGGGGCATTATATCTGTCCACAATTGAGTTATCCTTCCCATCTAATACATATGTATTATGTCTATCTCCCATAAGGAATTGATGTTTTTATCCTGGAATGTAAGGGGCCTGGGAGATCAAACTAAACAGGGTGCTGTCTTCCACGTACTTAGACATTTAAAACCGTCTGTAGTATGTTTGCAGGAAACCGATTTGAAATCTGACACTGTCGGTACCCTCCGCTCTTGTTTATTTCTCACACAATATCTTTCCACTCCACGTTTTCTAGAGGTGTGTGTATCCTCATGTCTATTCAATTTGTTCATGTCCAGAAGTGGATTGATGCACAAGGCAGGTATATTTTCCTACTGTGTCGTTCGAATGGGTTTCACTGCATAGAGGCTGCGGTATATATCCCTCCGCCCTACTCTTCAGAAGTCATTAAACGCCTAGCTCACTTTATGGCCAATCATCCTGATGTTCCCCCATTGGCAATGGGTGATGACAATTGCTTACTACCTAGCTTGGATAAATTGCCTTTGGGCGGTAGGGGCAGACAATTATCCTCTCAGCTTACGCCATTTGCTAATTTATTGGTGGAACTGAGCCTCCGGGATGTGTGGCGGATTAAGTATCCGACAGCAAAATGTTATTCATGTTTTTCTGCTACTCATGATGGGCTTTCATGCACTGATTTGGGCCTTGGGAACATGACTATCCTGTCATATGTGTTTGATGCTGCGTATGAACCCATGGCTATCTGACCATGCCCCTTTCTGGGTCAAGCTACAGGTGTGTTATACCCGATCTCGTCCGCTGTGGAAGGTGAACCCATTTTGGTTGACACTTTCCAGAGTCCGAGTTGATTCTGGGGGAGTTGTCAGACAATTTGCAACAGAATGAAGGCTTGTCCCCGCCTGGAATGATTTGGGATGCGATGAAGGCCTTCCTGCGGGGCTGGATTATCCAGGAGATTTCAGCAGTTGAGCATCTAACCGTACCTTTTCCTCCCACTCCCTGGATCTACGCTTAACAGCGGGAGGTTCAGATGATCCAAGACCCTGTAACCGCACCTCCTGGAAAGAGGCCCAAGCCCTTTATGAATCAGTGCTTACTCAAGTGACAGATAAGAAGCGATATTTTTTGTAACAAAAATATTTTGAGGAAGGGGAAAGTACAGGGCACCTTCCTGCTCTTGTGGCGAAGTCACAACAAGGGGTGTTCACCGTAGACAAGATTGAGGATGCTGATGGAATGATTTGCATGAGTCATGCGGAAATCCTGAGAGTTTTACCACCTTTATGATGGTCTGTATGCTTCTAAAACTAACCACCCATTCTGAGCTTTTGAAGTTTCTAGACACCTCTCTGGTCAGTCTCCGATAAAACCGGAAAAGAGCAGAATTAGAGATGCCAATTACTGTTGAGGAATTATCTGACGCTTTGGAAGGCACCCCCAGTAACAAATCTCCGGGTTCAGACAGATTGCCATTCGAAATCTATGATATGGTGCGCAACTCCTCCCAGCATTACTCAATGCCGCCATGGATAGAAACGGTTTGCCCCCTATCCATGAAGGAAGCTGTCATAGTATTACTGAAGCCTGGAAAAGATCAATTAAAACCCGACTCCTACCGACCTATTTCTCTCCTGAATACGGATGCTAAATTGTTGGCCCGGGTTCTAGCTACTAGACTGGCGCGGATTATTGCGAATATTGTAAAGATCAGTCTGGGTTTATTCCTACTAAAGCGACGGCTAATAATATTCATACTTTTTTGTAATTTGCAAAATTCCGGCGGAAAATCCTGGGGGGAGGGCAATTTTGTCTTTGGATGCAGTCAAGGCATTTGATAGTGTAGAATGGCCTGATCTATGGGAAGTATTGTCTAGATTCGGCTTTGGTCCTAAGTTCATTAGCTGGGTACGGCTTCTCTATGCGGCCCCTAATGCCCAGATCCGGGTTAACGGGGATTTGTCAGATTCATTCAGGCTGCAGAGGGTAATGAGACAGGGTTGTCCTCTCGCCTTTTTGTTTGCTTTAGCATTAGAACCTTTAGCAATTTTGGTGCAACAATCTCCGGACATTGTCAGTTGTACAAGAGGTGTTCTTTCGGAAAAGATCCCTTTATGCGCATGACACACTGTTATATTTGGGCGATACCTCCATATCCTTAGATGCTGTTATGTCCCTTATTGAATGCTTTTGTGGGGTTGGCGGTACCTGAGCCCAGACTTTATTTTCTGCTGGCCCAATTGCAGCAACTGGTCGGCTGGGATTTATCTAATAATACTGATCCCATTATTAGTTTGATTTCCCTTCCTGATCCCACCATTTCGGCTCTCTCATCTTTAGATAGCTCTACCGGTCCTTCCATCCACAGGTCCAACTGCGGACGTCTTGAGGCGCGTCTGGAGTATGGTAAAAGCGTCCTTTCATATTACCGGCTTTCTTTCCTGTACTCCCTTGTGGAATAATCCGCAATATGTAGAACTGGCTAAACTGGAGGTTTTTCACAACTGGAGGGATCGAGGACTGCAATTTGAATATCAGCTGTATTTGCTGGCAATCCTAAAGTCCTTTTCTCAACTGCAAACAGAATTTACATTTACACATAAGCATCGTTATCTTCAGCTACGCCATGCGATACAGGCTCAGTCTTCACTCTCTAATCTCACATTGACTCAGTTTTTCTTAAGGATGTCACTCAAGCAATCCATAAGGGCATAATTTCTCGGGTATACTCCCAGCTATTGTCTACAGTACAGGATCAAGCCAGTCTCCGGAGCAGGGCGCAGTGATCCCGAGATATTGCAGAGTTTGCTGGAGATGTCTGGGATGCCGCCCTGGAATCTGTTTCAGGAATTTCCTTCTCCCTCTCATAAATTGTTTCTTCTCCATTGAGCGTATATCCCCAAGTTACATAGATATTGGATTGAGATTCTCCAACTTATTTCTCTAGTATCGCAATATACTGTTCCCCAGGATCCCTTGCATTGTTTGTTGGGCACACTGGACCAAGAACTGTTCCAACCAGGTTATATTATAGTATCTAGACTTTTATATTTGGTTAGGAAGTTGATAAAAAGGTACTGGTTATCATCGGCTCCTCCGACTAGTAAGCAATGGATAGATTATGTTCTATAACACCCACGGGAGAAACCCACGTACCAACATAGCAATGCTCATCGTAAGTTCCAACAGGTATGGCAGGGTTGGCTGGATACACCTGGGCTCACCCCTCCTCAATTGACAGTGGACCGACTTCTGCAGGTGTGATATTTTATATCAGGTGTGTGGCTCCACTACTTCCCCTGGGGGAGTTCATGTGCATCTCCCATTATTTTTAATGAGACATCTTGGATGAACCAGTGGTTGTTGGTGATGTGGTTTTTTTTTTTTTATCTGTTTGAAGACGTTTTGGGCTTTGTTCCTTTCATCCATTTCTGTTCACATCTGGTCGGGAAGGAATAAGACTTAAAAAGGAAAAAAGCAAGATATTGTCAAGAAAGTTTTGGATCCTTGTGGTCGGTTTTATTTGATTACTATTTCTGTTATTCTGTTTATTACGGGATCTGCGTATCCAAGTTGCTCTATTTATGTGTAATCCTGCTGTTGCAGTAATGTCATTGTGGATTCTGTAAGTACTGTTCAATTTTCTCTATTATCTTAACAATAAAAGTTGTTTGGATAAAAAAAAAAAAAAAAATCTATGTATTCAGGAATTTCTGTCAGCTGTCCATATTATCCCTGGTAAGTGGCTTAGCAAGGCATTTTGAGGAGCAGCTAAAATGAGCCCCCAAATACCTGTTTCTAATGCAAGTGTAAAAAAGATCTTGGATTTGAGTCAGGGACATGTTTGAATCTGTTAGAAAAAGCTACATCCCATAAGGTTCTGTATCGCACATGGGAGTTGGGCTTCTACCCTACAAGATTCTCTGAGTTGAATCTTCTCCTTCCTGCAGCTGGGTATGAACCAGTGTTTTATCTTGCAGCATCCAAAGACCTCACTTCTTTATTTAGATCTTTGTTCAGGCTAGCCCCTGTAGTTCCCCTGGTTCTCTGTGCTATATAGACACACATGTAAACCCATTAGAGACATTCCTCTCTCTCACCCACAGGCTGATGTTTCTTGTAACCATCAAGCTCTGCAAGCGTCTGAATAAACCTTATATTTTGCACAGGATGGTATTGAAGGCCAGGATTTCCTTCTAGCCTACAATGGTACTGAAGGTCACTTCAACCAGGGGCATTGTTCTACTGTCCCTTCATTTGGCTTAGTTTATACACACAATAAACCTTTGTTGTAATTTTTTTGTTTGTTTTAACTGTGGTATTCTTATTTCAGGTGGTGTAACTATTGACATGGAACACTGAAAAATCTGAGTCAGTGCAATCAAGGATAGACTATATGCAAAAGGCAATGAATCATAAAATGGTAAGGTCAAAGCATCGCATTCAGTTTTACAGGCTGCCCTTATGTACTTTGGGTAGTCTAATGTGAATGTACAGCCCAAACTTTTTTTTTTTTTTTTTTTTTCTTCAGTATTGAATACAGAAGAGAACTCCTTCACAGTCTTTATTGCCATCTGTGTCCCTGCTAGGCAGATTTAATAACCTTTAAACACATTTTTGGGTATATGTAGAACTTAAAAGTAGAACTTTGGCTAGGCTATGGACATCCAAATATTCAAGTTGAATGACTTCTCTCCTTCTACTGCAATTCTGGAGGATGAATTTCCGCACATAGCAGCTACAAAAGGTCAGTAAAGGCTTACTGTAAAGCTTATTTGTTGCTGGTTAAAAATAGTTAAAATATTGAATGTCTATATAGCCTGGTCACACCGTTACTTTAAGTTTGAGACAGAGGTCAATACCCAAACACTACTTTACCTACCTCCTCCACCTCCACGGCCATGATCCACCAGTTGCATAAGCTTAGGATTTATAGTTTGGTTAGCTTCCTGTAATACTTTGACCAACTCACGAGCTTGCTTCAAGTTCCCAGGGGTGAAAAAGGTGTAAGCTGTACCCTTATTTGTACTACGAGCTGTACGTCCAATTCGGTGCACATAATCTTCTGAGCTATTTGGGTAATCATAGTTAATGACGAACTTGACATCTTCCACATCTGTTCATTGATCAGAAAAATTGATGTGTTTGGAAAAAGGAACACATCAGGAAAGGGACAAAAAAAAATCAAGTTAGACACAGCCAAAGAGATTAAAAAAAAAAAAAAAAAAAAAGTAAATTACCAATTTACTAAAATACTGCAGTAGATCTAACCTTAGTGGGATTACCTACAATGGGAGAATACAGATTTCCCCTGTATAACCTCAACTGCCTATTAAACATTTTTATTTCACTAGTATCAAATTGCTATACTCTGCAATCAGCACAAGATGACCTTGTTACTTTTAAAACACTACCATGTAACTAATAAAATAAAAAAAACTGTGAATTGCATGTTCTCCCTGTGCCTGCGTGGGTTTCCTCCGGGTACTCCGGTTTCCTCCCAAACTCCAAAGACATGCTGGTAGGTTAATTGTCCCGTCTAAATTGTCCCTAGTATGTGTCTGTATGAATGTGAGTTAGGGACCTTAGACTGTACGGCCCTTGAAGGTTAGGGACTGATGTGAATGTACAATATATATGTAAAGTGCTGCGTAAATTGACGGCGCTATATAAGTACCTGAAATAAATAATAAAAAAAACTGTTTTTATATAGCTTTGATTGTAACTTTTTTTTTTTTTTTTTTTTTTAGATATAGACACATTTTCTAAGTTTCTAAATGTTGGCCCGGAATGCGGATCCAGAATGCTGGATTAACATATGGGGAGAGGGGAATGTCTATCTAATTAAAACAGTTCACCTGATATATTTAAAGGCCTGGGCATTCAAAAATACTGTTATTTGAAATGGCATGCTCTACCCGTAACCTTGTGAAATACCACATTTTATATAAACTGGAAAAAAGAAAAAAAAAAAAGTTACGAAGTTCACTTAAAAATAATAGACCGAAGTTGAGCTACTTCATGGGATTCATCCTCGGGTGAGCTTATGTCCGGACCGATGCACACCTTCCCCTCAGCGAGGTGGGGGAACCAGCTGTTGCCAATCCCATCCTTTAGCGGTCTTACCGCCTTCATCCATGGACACAGGACCACCGTGGTGGGGAGCATGCATCAATGGTCCAGGCGCAGCAAGAGGTCCCAACACGTGCACTGGCTTGGCTAGACGATTTTGTGGATGAGCCACTAGCTTCAACTTCAGAGAGCCTGTCAATGAGCGAAGAGAGACCCCATCCTCCAACACTCAACATCTGCTGTGAACAGTTAACTAAACTGTGAAGTGTAAACCCCACAGTTTCATATGTCCTATTGTGGGAAAGAACAAAATGATGACTTTGCATTAAGAGGTCTGTTTCTTATTACAGAAGATCACTTAGCTGCAGGTAACATCGGTTGCTGTGTATATAGTTTATGTGGGGAGGAAAAGTGGCAAAAAAAAAAAAATAAGTACATTTTGGGATATGTAAGATAGCAAAACAGGCTTACAAAATAGCTGGGGTGGAGTCATTTTTAACCAGGCTAGGGGTGGGGGATTTCAAATTGGACATGACAGGAATCATAAATGGCTTTATATGTTCATGGCTGTCCCAAATAGGAAGTAAAACATACCTTGCAGCATTTTAGCTCCCTGTAATTTATCAAGGAGCTTATATTGGAAATAAAGTGAGTCACAGTAGTCTGAGGACATACAGCAGAAGGGGCTATTCTTCTGCTTCAATAGCCAATAGACTTCCCAAAGTCTTCCATGGCTTGGGACTTCCCCACAGCTGCTCAGGGCATAGCATAGTGGGAAGCACCAGTTGATCTCCCTTCTAGAAAGGTGGTCCGTCTATACAGTAAGACATGATATTCAAACCAGCAGCCATAAAGGTGAGGGGCTGTAGACCAATCTCGGTGCTCAGGATGGAAAGCACACATTTTGCACCCCAACGTAGAAAGGGAAAGTTTAGGGGGTTGGAGATGCAGACCGAAAAAAAACTGCCTCTTCAGTACAAGACCTTTGCGAGGGAAGAGTGTGAGAAGCCAGTGCCCCTTAGGTGGGCAGCTTCCAGCGTTCAATCCCCTCTATTTTCGTCAGGCCCCTGGCCCTGTACTGAGAGAGATCTGCAGCTTCTGTCAAAAACAAACAAAAAAAAAAAAAGGTAAGATTTAATATTGCAAACTACTTTAAAAAGGTATATATATATATATATAGTAAATAACCTAAATTGAGCACAGAAAGACTCCATAACGTAACAGCAACTTACCTGTCACCTAAAATTGACTGCAGAAAATAGTAATGCACAGCAGATAGCAATGCATTTTATGAATAAATCACAACAGCATATGAGCGGTCAGTTGAAAATAGTTCATTACTCTTTTAAAAGGCCTTTAGTTCACCACACACTGCAGGGTTTATCTTTACTTGTGGAAAGTCACTGCTACACACTGTTCCATACTAGTGAACCACCTTTCCATTGGGGAGAAGGAGACCAGGAAGTTTTCTAAATATTAGAATTTAAATCTTTTGTCTTTTTGCCAATAATGGCAAACTTGAGCAAGCTCTCCAATGCCGAGAACATCTAATGAATAGAAGCATCTTTTTACACCTCCAATAATACAAGAATAAATAATGAAAACAAACCAAGACTAGAATGGCTACAAGTAACAAGAAACAGACTGAGGGACTTAGTTTTGCAACATAAAATCTGCTTTGGTTTCAACTAGATTTTGAATAAAAGCATACATATTAACTTACTAATAAATGTTACAAGATCAGAACAATTAAACCAAGTAAAACTAGAGCAACAATGTGCTCTGTATAATGCAAGTGCATAATATTTTAAAATACTCAGTGGTAAAAAAAACAAAAAAAAAAAAACACACACACACACACACGCAGCGTTGAATATCCTATAATCGGAGAGTGCCACCACTATTAGAGAAAACACATACTTCACTTGAAAGAAATTGTTTTATAAATACACTGAGCCTGAAAGTTACAAACCTAGACCTCGAGAAGCAACATCTGTGGCAATTAAAATTGGGGCTTTTCCAGTGCGAAATTCTGAAGGGGAAAAAAAAAACACAGCACTTTAACAACTCAATACATTTAGATATAAAAAATATATATATATTCCTGAAACATTATGTTGAAGAATTTGTATGTGATCGAATTCCAAATAAAAATTGGAGAAAAAAAAAACGTGGAGGGAAAACCTAACACGGAAAAGACTGTTAACCACTTCCCGCCGAAGGTACACACACACCCTTTGGAAAACATAACTGAAATCAGTCGCTTCCTATAACCATCAATAAGCTTCTGACACCTCTCACCCGGAATTTTGGACCACTCTTCCTTTGCTCCAGGTCTCTCTTATTGGAAGGACACCTTTTCCCAACAGCAATTTTAAGATCTCTCCACAGGTGTTCAATGGGATTTAGATCTGGGCTCATTGCTGGCCACTTCAGAACTCTCCAGCGCTTCTTTGCCATCCATTTCTGAGTGCTTTTTGACGTATGTTTGGGGTCATTGTCCTGCTGGAAGACCCAGGATCTTGGACCAAACCAGCTTTCTGACACTGGGCCCTACAGTGCGACCCAAAATCCTTTGGTAATCCTCAGATTTCATGATGCCTTGCACACAGTCAAGGCACCCAGTGCCAGAGGCAGCAAAACAACCCCAAAACATCATTGAACCTCCACCATATTTTACCGTAGGTACTGTGTTTTGTTCTTTGTAGGCCTCATTCCGTTTTCGGTAAACAGTAGAATGATGTGCTTTACCGAAAAGCTCTATCTTGGTCTCATCTGTCCACAAGACGTTTTCCCAGAAGGCTTTTGGCTTACTCAAGTACATTTTGGCAAACTGTAGTCTTGCTTTTTTATGTCTCTGTGTCAGCAGTGGGGTCCTCCTGGGTCTCCTGCCATAGCGTTTCATTTCATTTAAATGTCGACGGATAGTTCGCGCTGACACTGATGCTCCCTGAGCCTGCAGGACAGCTTGAATGTCTTTGGAACATGTGTTTGGGGCTGCTTATCCACCATCCGGACTATTCTGCGTTGCAATCTTTCATCAATTTTCCTCATCCGTCCACGACCAGGGAGATTAGCTACAGTGCCATGGGTTGCAAACTTCTTGATAATGTTGCGCACTGTGGACAAAGGCAAATCTAGTTCTCTGGAGATGGACTTGTAACCTTGAGATTGTTGATATTTTGCCACAATTTTGGTTCTCAGGTCCTCAGACAGTTCTCGTCTCCTCTTTCTGTTGTCCATGCTTAGTGTGGCACAGACAGACACACAATGCAAAGGTTAAGTGAACGTCTCTCCTTTTTATCTGCTTTCAGGTGTGATTTCTATATTGCCCACACCTGTTACTTGCCCCAGGTGAGTTTACAGGAGCATCACATGCTTGTAACATTCTTATTTATCCGCAGTTGTGAAAGGGTGCCAATACTTTTGTCCAGCCCATTTTTGGAGGTTTGTGTGACATAGTCGAATTTGCTTTCTTTCCTTTTTTTGTTTTGTCCCATACACACAAAGGGAATAAACATGTGTATAGCAAAACATGTGTTAATGCAATACGTTTCGTGAGAAATACATGATTTCCTGGAGAAATATGGTGCCAACAATTTCGGCCATGACTGTACATACACACACACCGTATTTTCCGGCGTATAATACGACTGGGCGTATAAGACGACCCCCTACTTTTCCTGTTAAAATATAGTGTTTGGGCTATACTCGCCGTATAAGACTACCCCTCTTCCAACACACACCAAATAAAAATTAAAAAACATCAGATTTGATTTCAATATGGTATGGTATTCCAATGATGGGGCACGATTCCTCGCTCTGACACAAATGATGGCCCCATCATTAGTGTCAGTGTGTGAGGAATAGCGTCCCATCATTAGTGTCAGAACGAGGAATAGCGCCCCATCATTGGTGTCAGTGGGAGGAATAGCGCCCCATCATTGGTGTCAGTGGGAGGAATAGCGCCCCATCATTGGTGTCAGTGGGAGGAATAGCGCCCCATCATTGGTGTCAGTGGGAGGAATAGCGCCCCATCATTGGTGTCAGTGGGAGGAATAGCGCCCCATCATTGGTGTCAATGGGAGGAATAGCGCCCCATCATTGGTGTCAGTGGGAGGAATAGCGCGCCCATCATTGGTGTCAGTGGGAGGAATAGCGCCCCATCATTGGTGTCAGTGGGAGGAATAGCGCCCCCATCATTGGTGTCAGTGGGAGGAATAGCGCCCCCCATCATTGGTGTCAGTGGGAGGAATAGCGCCCCATCATTGGTGTCAGTGGGAGGAATAGCGCCCCATCATTGGTGTCAGTGGGAGGAATAGTACCCCGTCAGTGGGGAGAGGAATAGTGCCCCATCGTTGGTGTCAGTGGGGGGAGGAATAGTGCCCCATCGTTGGTGTCAGTGGGGGGAGGAATAGTGCCCCATCGTTGGTGTCAGTGGGGGGAGGAATAGTGCCCCATCGTTGGTGTCAGTGGGGGAGGAATAGTGCCCCATCGTTGGTGTCAGTGACACCAATGATGGGACACTATTCCTCCCACTGACACCAATGACACTTGCTGACCCCTGTTCCAGTATGGTGCTGCTGCAGCCAGCATATGTGGTTGGTTGCAGCAGCACCTCTGCACTGCACACTTACCGGCTGCTCCCTCACTCGATTTTCGCGGGTCCGCTCGGCTCCGCCTCCTCGCCCATGATTGGCCGCCTGTGTGCCTTTCCCGAGCTACAGTTCTGGCGGCCAATCACCGGTGAGGAGGTGGAGCCGAGCGGCAGGAGTGAGGGAGTGGCCGAATCAGCAGCGCTTCCTGGATGGATCGTCGTGGGAGCCAGGTAAGAGACAGCAGCTCTCTGCCCACCCCTGTACTTAGTGTCCCTTCCGTTGGAAGGGGGTGGACGGCGGCAGCACCGCGCCGCCCCCCTAAAAAGTGCCGCCCTGACGTATACCGGCGTATAAGATGACCCCCGACTTTTGAGAAGATTTTCATGGGTCAAAAAGTCGTCTTATACGCCGGAAAATACGGTATATATATATATATATATATATATATATATATATATAGGGGCTCTGAGCAGGTGGGCGGCCCAATGTAAACAGTTTTCTGTGTTGAGAGCATGCTCCAAAACACAGTTACCAGCAGGTAGCAGAAAGCTCCCAATGCATACTTGCGATTGGAAGTTTTCCAATCATGTGACCGCTGTGACTGCCAATCAGTGGTCACATGACCGGAATGCCCACCTCCCAGCATTTAGAACCTCTTAAAGGGCCGGGAGGCAGCAGGAAGAGGTTAAACTTTAAATTTTGTAAATGGATTTTTGTACAAGTATTCTTTTTTTTTTTAAAGCAAAAAGGACTAAAAATGGGTATGAATGCCAATTAAAGAAAAAGCAACAATTCCATTATAAAGCAATAAAAGAAGCAAATTACAAGCAAATATAGACCTAAACCAAAAACTCACCATTCAGGACCCAATCACGCTCCTGTTGACTCTTATCACCATGAATACACATAGCAGGCCACCTACAGAGGTTAAACAAGACATAAATGTAAATTAGAACTTGTACAAGAACTGAAACAAAGATTTCCTTACATAGAGAGATTTTCATGGATAAAACCAGGGCTTCATTTACATAGGTGCAAAACAGCATGAATGAAGCATTTGTTTACACATCCAGAGTTGCTGATTTTGTCTATTTTACGCTCCAGTAGTATGCTCCTGTATTCGGGCATCTCACTCCTCCTGTTGCATTATCTTTCACATAAACTAATCTACACACTGGACATGGAAAGCAGATCTTTTTCATAACTGCTTCATCATATAGGCAAACCCTGTAGCTCCAGATCCCACCACTACCCAAATTCATGGCCCTTCAAAATCTCTTACCCATCACGTCTCATTCTGCGTGTTAAGTCATCACACCGGCGTTTGGTTTCAACAAAAATAATAGTTTTATTTTCTTTCTCTGCCATTATCTCTTCCATAAGTTGGATAAGCCTGAAAGAAATAAGACTGACATTAACCACCACAGACAAGCAAATCTAGATGGAAACCTTAAAAAAATGTTTTAACCAATGGTGCCCTACATCTCCTAGTGTAGTAATTAAAGTGGTTGTAAAGGCTTAAGGTTTTATTTACCTTCATGCATTCTATGCATGAAGGTAAAAAAACACCTTCTTGTGCAGCAGTGCCCCCAGCCCCCTCAGTACTTACCTGAGCCCAATTGCGATCCAGAGATGTGCACGACAGCCTCAGCTGTCCCGGGTCTTTGCCTCTTCATTGACTGAGACAGCAAGTGGGAGTCATTGATTCCAGCTGCTGCCAATCACAGCCAGTAAGTCAATGAAGAGAGAGGCAGGACCAAGCCACGGCTCCATGTGCAAATGGGACACACAGAGCAGCCACTTGGGAACACTTGCCCCCACGTGCTTGCTATGGGGGCCCTGACAAATGAGGAGCCAGGAGTGCAGGCAGGGGCCCCAAAAAAAGCTGCTCTGTGCAAAACCACTGCACAGAGCAGGTAAGTATAGACATGTTTTTTTTTTTTTTTTGTAAAACGAAGAACCTTTAGTATCGCTTTAAGTTCAGTCAATTATAACTTCACATGACATACAAACTACAACAACTCATTTGTAACATTATAAATGCAGAATAAGTGACGTACTTGTGATCTTTTTCACTTTCCTGGCATACATCAACAATCTGGAGAATATTATGATTTGCAGAGAGCTCCAAGTTTCCCACATTGATCTGGACGTAGTCCCTTAAGAAATCCTCAGCCAGTTGACGCACCTCTTTGGGCCATGTTGCACTCCACATCAGAGTCTGCCTATCAGGCTAAAATTAGCCAATTTGGAAGAGAAAAAAAAAAAGGAAACAAAAAAAAGAAAAAAAAAAAAAAAAAAAACATTATTCTGATACCAATAGTTAATTTTACGTTAATTCCTGACTGTGATTAAGACAAAACAAAATCTAAGCTTTTTTGGTAAAAAATGTTTATTTGTTCATACCCTAATTTGGTCAACAATCTTGCGAATCTGTGGTTCAAAACCCATATCAAGCATTCTGTCTGCTTCATCAAGTACAAGATAGGTACAACGTCTCAAATTAGTCTTCCCAGCCTCCAGAAAATCAATAAGCCGACCTGGAGTGGCAATGCATATTTCAACACCTAAAAATAAATAAAATACATAAATTATCACAACATAAAACTCTAGTAACCCATGCTTTGAAACTGCTTCCTATGCAGACTACTTTTTCATTTGGTCATAGATTTGTAAACTGAAAATATGTATATTTAAAAAGGTGGTACATCACTAATGCAAAACAAACAGTCAATATTTTTACATGCACTTTGCTTATTGCATTTTACGTCAATATGCAGTAGTACTTTAAATGTGGACATTTGCTATGTTATAGGGAATATCTAGAAATGTTAGTTGTACCTAAAACACCTAGGGAAAAAAAAAATAAAAAATCTGGATTGTCGATTTACCGGTAAAATCCTTTTGAGTATATAACTGGACACAGAGGAGTTAAAGCAGAGCTCCAGTCCTCATAATCAATTTGTTTTTTTAAATTCCCTTATGATAGTTACTTGTACATTTAAATTAGAATACTGTTAGAACAGTATTTGTGCTGGTTAGCTTAAAATCTTTAAAAATTTACCTGATCTTAGACGCAGGCAGGTGGCCATTTAGTTTGTGGGCATCTGAAGCCCACTTGTGTCTTTTTTTGGGATTCGGTGCAGCTGGCTACCCAGCATGCACCTTCCGATCTCAAGCCTGCGCAGTAATGACACTGCACGGAGTATTGTGTTTAGTGCAGGTTGCCGTAGCAATGGCGGCGTCATGGAAGTACCCACCCTCTTGCTATGGCAACCTGTCAATCACATTACATTATTAGGCTTCCCAAAGACTCCTGGGGTAGATGCCGCCGATATCCCAGGAGTCAATGGGAATCGCCTGACGTCATCGCCTAGGCGTCCAGGACAGGAAGTGCCGAACGAAGAATTAAATTAAAGGTATTAAGAAACAAACAAAAAATGATTTCCATTTGGCACTGTACATTGGAGAGGCATTTGATATATCTGAAGTTCAAAAAAAAAAAAAAAAAGGCTGGAACTCTGCTTTAATAGTACTTAGTATATGGTTTATGCTACCACCTTCAAGTGAATGGACATTGACAAAAAAAGAGGCAGGTGTTCTCAACCAGGCACAACCCCTCCCAGCTCAGCCAAACCTAAATTTTGTAGCAAGCAAATGAGGAATACAAACCAGAAGAGAGGGACCTCTGTGACCTGTGATGTACTTGAGGAATAGATTACAAAAAGGATTTACATAAAAAATAATGTCCTAATCATATCACAGGACACCGTAGTTAATAGTCAGATTCATTGCTTTGGGACGTCCCCATAGAGTAATGATGGGAGGGCAACACAGCAACAAGACTAACAAGCTCAAAACACCCAAACAGAAAAGGGGAACACCTGCATAAAGCTGTCTGCAGAGGCAAAAACATCAACCTAGTAGAACTTTAAAAACTTCCAACACCAGCACAAAACTAAAGCTTAGCTGGTGTACAAGGCCAAACAAATACCTGGAGAGTACTAAGGGATAGGCATTTGGCAAATCCAAAAACAGAAGTTGTTGCAGGATGTGGAACAGCTTTAATGTGGAGTTCCTTGTTACACTAGGTGAGAACAGTTTACTGTGGGAAATTGCAGAGAAAGGAGGAAGTGAGCAGCTAGAGGTTGGAAGCACCTAACTGGTAGATCTCTGTGAGTTAGAGATGTTGGGGGATCTCAGTGAAAATATTTGTACATCAGTCCTATAACAATGGAAATGTTCTGGTGAGAAAGTCAGGCATGTGCAAAATCATCTACAGACCACATGGGGAGGGTTCAAAAAAATAGATACATACAAAAAAGGGAAGCCCTGAGAGTGGGGCAGTGTGAACTTTCCAGTACTAAGCTAGCAAACAGAAGTCAACTGGTACAAAAGGCCAGATTTTTGAAAATGCAAAACCAGAATGGTTTCTCAATCTCTATGAGTATTCTGGTAATCCGCAACCCTGATATGGGAGAGAAAGATATATAAATCAGAGTTTGGAGCAGTCTAAAGGGTTGTAAACCAGGGAGATGTGTTATGACAAAAAGGAGAAAAAAAGTAAGGTAGTGAAGGTAACCTCCTCATTTAGTAGAAGAGAGTCCTAATGACCTCGAGTGAAGAAAACGGTATGCGCTGCCTTGAAAAAAGTCCACTAGCAAAACCTGAAAGAATTCTCATTGGAGGGGGAAACCAGGGGATGGCATTTAGAATATATGTTTCTGAACATGAGACCAGACAGACCAAAAATATATTAAAAGGGATAATGTGAATGCAAATGATGTCCAAATTAGTCCGAGGTACCCCAAATGGTGCAAGGCTGGAGATGAGCCCAAGAGGGATGTGAGATCAAAAGAAAGGGAGAAGTGTGAGCAACAGCATTTGGGCAAAGGGTTCAAATTAGACTCCAAGGAACCCTAGGATATGAATATTCAGGGTGTGCAGATGAGTCTAAGAGTGTGATTTTTTTCACAAACACTACAATGATTTATGAAGATAGGGATTGTAATCCATCATGCTGCATTTGCTTTACAGTTAGGAAAAGAAAAAAAAAAAATAAAATAAAAGCAGGCAGAAACATAGCTTCTAAAATAATTTAGAACAGATTGAGACCATGATGGGACAGGACACATGTCCCTAAATGGACAAGGGGTCAAATGAAAAATTTGGATATGACCACCCCTTGTGCCTGTAGGATACAAGCAAATGTAGAGAAATGGTTCTGTGTTTGTAGAGCAGCAACAGATAGAATACAGAACAGCAATACACCTAAAAAAAAAAGGTGAAAAAAAGGGCAAGGAAACCCTGTCTTACCACGTCCACATGGCTGTTCCAGCCCAGGCTTCACTCATCAAGGCAGGCATACCCTGTAAAAGGGTATAGGAATGGAGCACCTGGACCTGTACAGTACTCTGCAGCTAACTACAACTTGCAACACCATGTGTTAAAATGAGCACTTGATGCAGGATCCAATGCCTGAAGCAAACATTACAAGCTGCATGGTCCGGGTACAGTTAATGTTTACACCAAAGCAAACCGATCGGAAAACTACTAGTGAGCCATAAAGCAATAAGCAGTCAGATCTTGATAGAAGGGTTATTCAAAATGAAGAAAACGAAACAAAAAAAAAAATCTTCAACAGGGAACGGATACTAACCATCTAAGTACACTAGCAAAAAACTGAAGCCTTGCGGAGTGGACAGGGTTATACAGATATGTTGGGGTTCTCTCAGCAAAACTTCTGCTAGTGTTCAATCACCTGAAGGTAGCTAGCACTACGTAACCTATGGTATAAGAATCAATTTCTGTGTTCTGTACTGTAGGATTCAGATATCCACATTTTCTTTTTTTTTTTTTTTTATAAAAATGTTATACTTACAGTGCCTTAAAAAAGTATGCAGTCCTTGAAATTTTCCAAATATTGTCATGTTACAACAAAAAATATAAATGTATTTTATTGGGATTTTATGTGTTACACCAAACACAATTGCCATTGTTTCTCATTTTTAGGGAATCTAATGACTGGCATAGTACCACTGGATTGGCATAAGGCCAATGTGGTGCCTATATTTAAAAAGGGGTCAAAATATTTACCAAGTAATTATAGACCTGTTAGTTTAACATCTATAGTTGGGAAGATACGATAAGATAAGAGTTTAATAAAAGACCACATAGATGAGTTCTTCCTGGAAAGAAAACATTTTAAGCAACATACAGCATTGATTCACGAAAGACAGAAGTTGTCAAACAAATCTGATTTCTTTTTATGAGGGGGTGAGCAAAACCTTGGTTGGTGGTGGACGTGGTATACTTGGATTTTGCAAAAGAGTTTGACACAGTTCCCCACACATGGCTAACGTGTAAGGTAAAGTCTACGGGCTTAGAAAAAAGTACAACTGGGGGAATCAATGGTGGAGAAGGATCTGGGAGTTCCGGTAGATCACAAGCTTAATAGCATGCAATGCCAAGCTGCGGTTTCTAAAGCGAGCAAAATCCTTTCTAGTATTAAAAAAGGTATAGGCTCCAGAGGGAGATAGATCATTTTACCCCTGTACAAACTAGTAATACCTCATCTGGAATATGCAGTTCAGTTTTGGGCACCAATTCACAAAAAAAAACATTGGGGAACTGGAGAAAGTACAGAGAAGGGTAACCAAACTGATAAGAAGCATGGAGGAGCTCAGCTTTGAGGAAAGATTAGAGGAACTGAATTTATTCTCTCTGAAGAAGAGGAGATTATAAATATATCAGTGGTTTATATAGTGAACTCTGTGTAGAGTTATTCACCCTTAAGTCATCACAGGAGGACAAGGGGGCACCCTTTACATCTGCAGGAAGAGAGATTTAATACTGAAATTTTCTTCACAGTAAGAGCTGTGAAAATGTGGAAAAGACTCCAAGGGTTGGTTCTGGCCAGCTCAGTGGATTGCTTAAAAAAAGGCCTGGATTCTTTCCTAGATACACATAATATAAATTGGATGCTAACATTTATAGGTAAAGTTGATCCAGGGAATATCCAATTGCCTCTCGGGGGATCAAGAAGGAATTTTTCCCCTGTAGGAGCAAACTGGATCATGCTTTGCTGGGTTTTTTTTCCCTTGCACTGGATCAATTGTGGGTATAGGATTCACTTTTTTTTTGGTTGAACTGGATGGACTTTGGTGTTTTTCAGCCAAAGTGGCACATAATTGTGAAGTGGAAGGAAAATTTTTTACAAGTAAATATCTGAAAAGTGTGGCGTACATTTGTATTCAGCCCCCTTTTACTCTGATACCCCTAACTAAAATCTAGTGGAACCAATTGCCTTCAGAAGTCACATAATTAAGAGTCCACCTGTGTGTAATTTAATCTCAGTATAAATACAGCTGTTCTGTGAAGACATCAGAGGTTTGTTAGAGAACATTAGTGAACAAACCGTATCATAAAGGCCAAGGAACACATGACAGGTCAGGGATAATAAAGTTGTGGAGAAGTTTAAAGCGGGGGTAGGTTTATAAAAAAAAGAAAATATCCTAAGCTTTGAACATTTCACGGACTACTGTTCAATCCATCATCTGAAAATGGA